AAGAGTCGGCGCGAGGTCGCTCCCAGTGTCCGGGTAAGTAGCGCCAGCCACCCTGGCCCCGCGCGGTGGGACGCATGCGTGGCCTCAGCAATGAGGCTTGTTGCCCTCACCTGGCAACTTGCGCCGCCCTCCGCCCACCTGCGCAGCGCCCCCTAGCTGCAGGCGGTGCCCAGCGAACTCTGTACGTAGGGCCCAGCCCTACAAGGCGCTTGAAAACCTTCAAGCCTTGTCTAAAACCACCTAGAGGACTTGGCACGCCTCGAGTCCCTCCCAGGATCAAGCACAGCTAAGCAGCAGTCCCCGCACAGGTGTCAGGCTCCAAACATTCCTCAAGAAGCAGGGTGGGGTGTTAAGTGATGAATGAATGTGCCATAAAATGTGATGCAAAAATCTAGAACTCTTGGTTCTGCAATGATAGCTTTTATGAAACCAACTGAGTAATTGCAGAGAAATATCTTTTTCTGCAAGCTTTCAGGCTTATGCACCTGTTCTTCATCAGGCTCAGGGAAAGTTCAAGGTGGTAAAAAGCTCCCATAGGTAGGAGATAAACTTCATTTTTGCACAGAGGAAGCAGGCGCTGGAAAGAGACTCTCATGGACCCAGAGGGACAGTTTTCCAGCTTTTTTTCCAGGTATCATTTTGGAACCAAGAGTTTTAGATTTTTGTATTTCTTTTTGCCTCAGACCAACATGGCTATCACATACATCCCTATAAAAATGTGAGCTTTCTGTAGGAAAAAGTCCATCAAACAGTGGGAAATCCCTCAGTTTTCTTAAATCAACAATTCTGAGCAGAGCAAGGCAAGTCCTGCTCTCCAGGCCGTCCCACACACAGTGCAGTTACTCCAGGTTTAATCCAGTTCAATGAGAAAAGAATTTGGCTCAACTAAACTCTATACCTATATTGTGAAGTGCAAGAGTTCTCTCATTTTTCTTTAGTTGCCTGCAGTAGTTTCTTGGAAAAAGACTTCCTTCTGTAAGACAAGCCTCTAACTATTTCCAAATAGTTGGATAAATATCAATACAAAAGACAAATAGATAAAAAAAAATGGCTGTAAACATGACTGGAAAGGGAAATGATAAGTCAATCGTTATAAAACACACAATGCGTGATGAATAAATTAAACCTAATCTGTTTTTCTCATGCATGGAATAATAAATCCCCTTTTTGTGTGCACAAGGGATGGTATGCCTTCTAGTACCTGGAATTTGCTGCCGCAAGCTCATATTTATCACTGTCTGTTGGTCTCCAATAAAGTTTAACAAAGGACTTGGTTTGATTCCAACAGGCAGCATCTCAAACGGAGTAAATGTTAAAAATACAGAAGGAGGTTATATTTCTGAACACCTCTTCCTGAGTATGCACAGTCTGGTTATGTCAATACTTGCCTGTTTCGTGGTAGCCCTTAGCCATGATTTAACCACATTAGCATTTCAAGCCAATGATCATCAACAATAGCACAGAGAGATTACCTGCTCATTTATGGTTTGAAGAACAGAACATTGAGGAAGAGACTTCACAGATTAAATCAAACCTGGACCAGCCACTTGAAACATAAATTACAAACACCAGTACATTTGCTGAATCTAGACTACATGTTGCTTTATATAACTCAGTAAGAAGATACTATCCTTTACCTCTAGGGTTTTAGTTCTAGCATTTGAGTTCTGAGACTCTTGAACAGTCAGTCTAGAAGTGATCCCAATGGAGGTGATTAGGCTTAATTAATTTAAGTAGTTTCCTTTGTATTTATACAAAAGTGCCCAAAAGTGTATTAGGTACTTTACAGAGCAAATTAAAAGACTTTACAATTTAATCTTAGATTTGATGTGAAGAATAACAAATGATGAGTGGTGGAGGGCATGAAAACATGAAGAGCTACCTTATCGGTCCCTGCTGTTACTTAGCTTCATTGTGTGCACAACTTGAGTATTTCATTACATTTGAGAAGTTGATTCACTCTGCTCCAGTTTTGAAACCGTTGCACTTCAGAAAGGTTACACAGTTGTAAACCTGAGTTATTTAGTGGTGAATAAGGCCTGTAGTGATTTTTTGTTTCAGGAGTATTTTGCTTTTTTTCCTCTGCATTGATTTGCTGTAAATGTTGAAGTCCTTTTAAATTTTAGAATCAGTCTTTTTTTCATGGCTTCTTCCTCTGGTTAACCAGAATAATGGAAAGGAAGTGTGAGCTGTGAATTGTAGTGTTGCTGTCACCAATGGAAAAATTATGATGTGTGTGTGTTAGACATTCCCTTCTCTGAGAAGTGTATTGTGTCAGCAAATAGCATTGAATCAATTTTCATTACTTTTTGTAGTCCAGACCTTCAGGCTTGAATACTTCCTTTTCTAAAAGAATGGCCTAAAGCTTTTTATATTGGCTAATATTTTTGCAACTCTTACAAGTTTGAAATATGTTTTTCTAGATGCGTATATACATAATAGATGTGAAACATTTATGAAAGGAAATGTTAGCTCATTTTGGAGCACAGCAATAAAATAACATTTTTTTCTTTTGCCTGAACATAAAATAGAAAATAGTCTTGCCAACACAAAGGACCAAACTGACAACCAACTAAAGACAACTCAACTCCACAGACTTCAATAGAGTTGCCTTTATTTACCGTAGGAGTGAATGCTTTTCCAGGGAGGGTTCTATGATTTGACTGTTTACAAGTGGCTCTTACTCAAAAGAGCTGACCATTGGTATTTTTCTTTATAAAGTTCTGATGCTTTGGCCAAACTTCAAGCTAAATTCTGGAGTTGCATAGGGTGGTAATTCAGTACAGAATATACCTTGCATGTCTACTCTATTAGGAAAGAGCTAATCATGAATAAAATAACCTTCTGTACATTCATAACTCTTTACTGCTGCATTTATTATTAAAATCTAATTATATAACTGAGACAAGTTTGTGATTTCCTTACCTGCCAGTTAGAAATAAATAGTTTATTTTTTCTTGAATTCTCTTTATTCCACTGGTGTCTAAGTTGTCAATTGTTATGTCAGCAAATCACAAATTAATATTCCTGTAGCTTCTTTTTACTCTTTTCCTAATTTCAAGTCCAGTTTGATTATTTCAGATTGAGAAAATTAATTTAATGAATACTAGCTATTTGACAAAGTTTGTTATCAAGTGAAATGTGTTTGAACTGTACCAATATGAATGTTTGATGCAAAGTTCTTCATAGCCTATCAAACTGAGGAAGAATGGATTTCAGTGAAGCCAGATACTTAAACAGATAGGCATCTCATTAAGACTCTTCGGACCGATTATCAGTTGTAATTATGATGTCTACTTTCTGAAATGAATTCTGTAATATACAAAGAAAAGCAAATGAGCAGGCTGAATCAAATGACTTAATTTTCACTCTGAATATTTAGCGCACTGTTTTACTTCCCTCTGCCTTCTGCATTGCTATTTTTTTTGCATGTCTCACTAAGAATTTATTTCATGGCCTCATGAAAAAAGAGTCAGGTCATCTACAAGTCAAAAGCATGAAGAAAACTGCTCTGAATGTACTTTGCTGACACAACCAATCTGGCTGGCAATTCATTATGGATCAGAAACTGAAGTCTTGTAGCCAACTTCTCCATTATGCTTTGTAAGGGGCACCAGCCAGAATGCTTGTTTTATTTACTAGCGTGAGCATTTCGTAGTTCATTCGAGGTTCCTGAAAATATATGGCTTCACATTTCCATCACAATCACAAATACCAATGTAAGAATTCAGGTAGATGGGTGAGACAAATAATAGGGCTACTTCAATCAGGGCCCAGGTGCAGTCACTGAAATATCCCACTGGGCGTGTCTACACAAGGCACTTCACTCAAGATTAGTGCAAAGTACTGTGTGGTAAGCATAACCGTCTACACATGCAGACACTTACTGCAGAGTAATTTGCTCTAATTTGTAAATTTGGTACCTGTAAATACAAATAGCAAATTTACTTGTGGTTACTTACTTCACCATACAGCACCCATAGATAGCAGACCGGGAGCAAACTTGCTCCCGGTCTGCTGGGCAGCAGGGGGTGGGAGATTGCCCCCAGGAGCTGCCTGCTGCCCCCAGGAGATTGCCCCCAGGAGCTGCCTGCTGCCAGGGAGGGCTCTGCCACCAAAGCCCAGGTAGGGACAATATCCCTTGCCCTGGCAGCAGGGAGCTCCCAGGCTTCACTCCCCAATTGTTCCCAGCCCCTGCTCCATGATTGCTGGGAGCTCCCTGCATGGGGAGAGTTCCCTGCCCAGCTTGGAGGCTGGGGGCTCTCTGCTAGCTGCCCCACCAGCAAACTGGGGCAGGGGCTGGGACCTGCCTCTCCCCTTCAGCTCTTTCCAAACCCCCTGGTCCCAATCGGGGAGCTGGTGCTGGGAGCTTCCAGCTGCTGGGACAAGAGGACATTGTCTCTGCCTGGGCTTCGGTGGCAGAGCCCACGCCAGCAGCAGGCAGCTCTTGGGGGCAGGAGACAGCTGTCTCCTGGTCCTGTGCTCCCTGCCAGCTCCTGGGCTAGCACCCAGGGGGAGCCTAGAGCACCCCCTGGCTGCTGCAGGGGGTTGGTGCAGGGCAGGAGGGGCAGGAGCAGACTGCTGCCAGGAGTAGCAACTCTGCTCCCATGCTCTCCGCATGTGTAGATGCCTGCCCGGGGTGGGTTTACTGTAGAGTAATTTACTCTACAGTAAACCTACCCGGCAGTATTTGCATATGTAGACATGCCCACTGTGGCTTTGCTCCAGTGTTGTGCCAAAGTCCATCCCTAGTTGAATACTGTAACTGGATACCTGACCATTTGGGCTGCAGAGACAAAGTGAGCCAGACATATTGCTGGCCACTTCACACCTTTGTGAACCAGTGGCTATAGAAACGGGTATGTCTTCAACACTCTAGCCCTATTGGCTGCTAGGCTAGGGTAGATCTGTGGCCTTAATCACTAGTAGAGCTCCAGTTAGATGAACAGAGTTATTAAAGTCAGTGAGAATAACTCTGACTCTCATTCTGTCTCATTTCTGACAGCCTGAACTATGGATCCTCTAAAGCTCTATAAAGAATGTCTCATTCAGATATAATCCTACAGCCAAATCTTCTACTAGCCTCACTTTACTGAAGTCAGTGGAACAGCACCACCAGCATGCCATTAGGTCTGTAGCAATCAAGACATTTTTTGCTTTGCTCAGTTCTAAAAATGCAGAGCTGATTTTTACACTGAGATTGTGTTATCACACTTCAATTTGTTCAGAACATGACTTTTAAAATAGCTTTTAAACCAAACTGTCCTTTGTGACTTGACAAGATGTACCTGTAAAATCTTGTATCTTTTCCCATTGAGTTTGTGACCCTCAGAAGACATGTGCTGTTATATACCCCAGTAGTGTAACTGAGGGGCTGGGCAATGAGAGCAGCAGCAGTGGGCACCCCCTTTGCAGGGGACAGATGCAAAAATAGTCACCACCGCTATTGGCTCTGTGGCTGCTGGTGCTGCTCAGGACATAGAGCTGCCCTGCTGATCCTCCAATGTGCCTTAACTTTACATCTCCTTGCTTTCAGAGAGAACAGGAGATGGAGCACAAGAAATACATCTGTCTAAATCCATATGGATCCTGGCCCATCCCTCAAAAACATCTTTCCAGCTCATGGATTTTCCCCTTACCATTGAAATTACAGCTCTCCTATAGGAAGCCCCACATATATTCTTCCTAACTATACCAGCAATTCTTAAACAGGGTGCCACAGTACCCTGGGGTGCTGTCAGATCCTTTTATTGGTGCTGCTGGGGAGGTGGGGGCAGTGGGGGAACACTGCAATATTAGCACTGTTAGGTGTCCAAACATCTATCTGAGATTAACCCTTTTTCAGATTCAAGGCACCCCTTATTTGACTCAAGAGGTGCATCCCCCCATGCAGGGGTGTGTGGTTGCTGCAGCAAAAATAGCATCATCACAAATTTGTGCTGCGTCTTTTTGCTGCTGGGCATGCCTCTGCATGTGGGGTTGGTACAGAGCAAATTGTCTCTGGTAGGGTAGGGGAGGCTGGGGCAAGCACCTGTATTGGCCCCAGCAGCCTTACCTGGGGTCCTGGGGCTCTCCCAGGGTAGCAGCAGTGCTGATCTGGCTGCTCAGAGCCTGGCCAGGCTCCATTTCTGACTGTGCACACTGCTGCCACATGTGCGGTGCCTCTTTTTGCAGTGTTATTTTTTTTTACATGGATCTCCCACTGTCAAATTTTGGCACTGTACTGCAAATCTGCAGCGTGACAAATGGGTACACGTGCACCATGTGCCTCAAATGGGCTTTAGGCGCCACAAACTGCTCATCGGGAGGTACCCAAGGACCCCCTCAGAAAAATGCTAGCTCTTAATTTTAATTTGTTTTTTGACTACTGAAAAATAATAGAGCAATTCTTCAGTTGCAAAGAACTGAGAAAGTCCACAGCTGGTCAGAATGTTTTTAGCACTGGATTCCCATTTGAAATCTCTGGCTGTGTCCAGACAAGCGCAGATGTGCAGTATATGTGGTGCTGCAGATCCCAGGTTCAAAAAAGCCCATGCTTAAAAAAAGAGTAGCAGCACATGTGGTGGCAGCACGTGGCCTAAAAAACCCAAGCCTGGCCAACCACGGCCAGGCTCTGGCTGCCAGCCAGGCTTCCTGCCACGGCTGCGGCCCTGGAAGGCCCCAAGGTAAGGCTGATGGGGCCAATGCAGATGCTGGCCCCAGCCTCTCCTACCCAACCCAGAGTAACCTGCCAGGGGACAAGTAGCAGCAGCACAAGATGTGGCTTGCTCCTGTGGAAACAAACGTCCATGCGATTCTCCTCCCTGATTGGATTTATATAAACCTCTGGGTTTATGTTGTGAATCAGGCTGGCACACTTAACAGGGCTAACGCGGCGTAGCAGCCCTGAAAGGATCTCAAGGCACTCCAGGGAGCCCCAACCCCCTGGCTGAGATAACTCTTCAAGGAGTGTGAAGCACAGTGCAGACCTTTCACTTCCACCTGCTTGTGGGTTTTTCAGACCCCTGTGCCGAAGAAGTGTCTCCTTCCAGGGGCTGGCAGGTTTGAGCTGGCAGCTCGGAGCTGCCCAAATGTGAGCGGGATGTTTGCAGGAGCCAGAGCAGGTTCCTGGAGGGCAGAGTGGGGTCCCCCTTCAGCGTACCTAGCCTCAGCCACTCGTGGGCAACGTACAAGCTAGACACAGGCAATGGAACCCGGCTCCTGGCGTCCCGCAGCACCAGGCTGCCGGCGCCCCTCTCCCTCCGCCCGGGGGAGCAAAGCGGGGCCGCGTCGGAGGCGGGACCGGCCGCCCGA